ACCTGGGGACCCACAGGTTGAGAACTATAGAAGATGTGGAGAGAAAGAATCAAAATCTCATCACAGTGTCCACTATATCTGCAAATGTACCTGAAGACTGAAGCAGTACATATGTACCTACGTTGTCCCAGTGCACTCTGTGGAAGGCACAGTCACAGAGAAATAAATGTTTTGAGTACAAATTGTATACATGTCAGCTCTATTCAAAGGCTTGGAACATGGATACTGGACACATTCTTCAGTCTACCTCACACACATATTCACTGAACAGTAGCACCAGGCACTGGTGATTTTTCCCCCAATGCAAAACTCTCGTGGCAGACAAGAGCTTTCGTCTTACCTCAAAAACAAGGAAAGAGTTTGGTGATGAAATATATGCTCAGCAGTATTATATGACACTATCCTTTAAAGATTTTCTCAGAGTCTTTGATTTAAAACAGGAGTAAGGATCATGAGGCCCTTCAGGTTTCATTGAATTGCATTTCTCATATCTATACAAACAAGGGCTGCTAGGATTTTAAGACTAATAACATCTGAAGGATTTTATTATCACATCTCTGATTTACTTTCTCTGGCATTATAGGCCTCACACAGATTGGAATATCCCCTCTTTCCATGAGCAGAAGAGTTTGGCACTTAAATTAATAATATATATGGAAATACTTAGGTGTATACATTGAGGCACCCCCTTAAAAAGAATGTATAGGGTGCAGATGAGTTAAACATCCTTCCTGATTTTTTCTTCCATTAGCCTTACATTGTAAACATTAACTGGGAGCAATCCAATTGGTGACAGAAAGACACAGGTGGTTCACAGAAAGACCACAGTATAATTGACAAAATATAATATGGCCCACTCATATCCATGGGGAATATGTTCTCAGACTTCATGCAGATATATGAAACCACAGATAATAGGAAACCCTATTATTTTCAATGGGACAAATGATGGAGGTACTGAGAAGAGGATATAGCTTGTACTGGATGCCCTAAGTATGTAAGTGAATCCCTGGATAAATGAAACCATGTACATTAGTTCCACAGATACAGGAGCCATACTGTATTGCCAGCCTCTACAACAAGGGGAAGCAATATATGGTCCTTCAGATGTTGTTACACTGCAACTCCCATCAGTGCTAGTCAGCCCAACAAATTATGAAAAACTGTGTGAATTGTATTTCCAAAACAGTTACAGAGTTTTAAGTCGCCCTCTCCTATTTACCATATTTGGAATCCATGGGCTTCCAAAGGTCAAGATCAAGGTGCCTCATGCAACAAGATGGGCAAAGGGACCAAGATAGAAACTGGATGGCTCATCCCCGACTTCACTAATAATATACACTGAACATACATACTCCATTTCTGGCCTCTTGGCTCAGGGTCAGACCTTCTAAATATGATTTCAAGATAAGTATCGCCTCTGCCTTTGAAAACCATGGAGGAGCAGGGTTTGTTTTTGTTTGAAGGGAAGACCATCAGGCAATACAACTATTTGCCATCATGTTGACACTGATTTATGGCAATGAGAGACTTCTGAAAATCCCAGTTAGCAAGAGTTCACTCAGGTCTTTAAAAACTTAAGGCAGTGAGCTTCCTAGATTCCTGAGTCAACCAACCTATAATGAGGCCTTCCTCTTTTCCTACACAGACCAAGGATCTCCTGGTAGCCTGCCAAAAAGTCATTTTTGTCAAGAGTTGAAAACAGCCTGGCCTGACTCAGTATAAACCAGCTTTTTCTGTTCTTAACATCTGCAATTACCTTTTTAGAAATTAACCCTTGCAAAGCACTATCACTGAAAGATAACCTATCCAATAAAACATAAAGCCAAGGTTTTCTCTGTGGTGAAAACACACGTTTATTGATACCATTTAGAAAACAAAACTCAACTCTCCTAATTCATAGCAATAATTTAAGGTAGGAGTCTCCCAATGAAGATCCGTGAGCCAGATGCAGCCCTCCAAGGTTATTTACCCCACCCTGGACTATACTTTAGACTTAGGGTGGCCCTAAGTCTGAAAAGACTTGAAGGCACACAACAACAACAACAACAACAACAACAACAACAATCCTAATTCACTTGACTATCTCATCCACTAAAAGCAGGCCCACACTGTTCATTGTAAATACTGAATTATTCTTTCCTCTTTTTGCACTACAAATAAGACATGTGCAGTGTGCATAGGAATGCGTTCATGTTTTTATTTATTTTATTTTATTTACTCTATTGGTATCCCACCTTTCACTACCCCAAAGGCAGCTTGACATATGACAAGTATTCGATACCTTTGGACAACAAAGAGTTAGAATACACTTACGTTAAAAATTAATATTAAATGCACATTGAAACATATAAAACACTGCATTTTTTCAAATGATATGAACCAGCCCTCTGCTTTAAAATTTTGAGGGCCCCTGGTCTAAAGGAGCTGACCCAATGCTCAAACCAATAACAACAGAAGAGCAGGAAGTATCAACTACTTGCTCTTAAGAGACGTCATCAGAAAACACAAGGCACTACCAGGGGAATCTCCCCAGTGGCTCCTCTGTGGCCTTTATGGACCAAGCTGGAGCCCTTTCACACCAATGGATGATAATGCCATGGGCCCCTTGAACTGTCCTGGGGTCTGCAGTTTAGGAAGGGGTCATTCAATCCTCAGCACACTAGAGAATGAATCCACTTTAAATCCGGTTGCTGTCTCCTGCAGAATTCTGGGGTTGGTAGTTTTGGGAGGAGCCTTTAACAGCCTCACTAAACTACAAACCTCTGAATTCTGCAGGAGTCAGAAACCGGATTTAAAGTAGATTCATTCTCTAGGGCAGACATGGACAAACTTGGTCCTTCCAAGTGTTTTGGACTCCAACACCCACAATTCCTAACAGCCTACCAGCTTTAGGAATTGTGGGAGTTGGAGTCCAAAACACTTGGAGGGCCCAAGTTTGCCCATGCCTGCTCTAGTGTGATGAAGTAATAAGTTCACCAAATGTGGCCTCTGTCACAACTGGGGGTTATTGTTTCCCTCTGGGTGCGATAACCAACACAATACAGAAGCAGTCACAAACCAACTGAGGCTCTGGATGCTTTTAGGGTTTAACCATTCCCTTACTGGGCATTGTCTAGAGCAGGCCTGGGCCAATTTGGGCCCTCCAGGTGTTTGGTCTTCAATTCCCACCATTCCTAACAGTCTCAGACCCTTTCCTTTCCCCCCTCAGCCGCTTAAGCGGAAAAGGAAGAGGAAGAGATAGGGGTCTGCGGCTGTTAGGAATGGTGGGAGTTGGAGTCCAAAACACCTGGAGGGCCCAAGTTTGCCAATGCCTGCTCTAGTGTGCTGAAGTAATAAGTTCACCAAATGTAGCCTCTGTTGCAACTGGAGGTTATTGTTTCCCTCTGGGTGTCATAACCACCACAATACAGAAGCAGCCTCAAACCAACTGAGGCTCTGGGTGCTTTTAGGGTTTCCCTCCCCTTACTGGGCAGTGTCTAGAGAAGGCCTGCTGGAGTGTGGTGATGTTATGAGTTCACCAAATGTGGCCTCTGACACAACTGGGGGTTATAGTTTCCCTCTAGGTGTGATAACCACCACAATACAGAAGCAGCCACAAATCAACTGAAGCTCTGGGTGCTTTTAGGGTTTCCCTCCCTTTACTTACTTCTCTAGAGAAGGCCTGTTGGAGTGTGGTGATATTATGAGTTCACCAAATGTGGCCTCTGACACAACTGGGGGTTATTGTTTCCCTCTGGGTGTGATAACCACCACAAGACAGAAGCAGCCACAAATCAACTAAAGCTCTGGGTGCTTTTAGGGTTTCCCTCCCCTTACTTACTTATCTAGAGAAGGCCTGCTGGAGTGTGATGATGTTATAAGTTCACCAAATGTGGCCTCTGACACATCTGGGGGTTATTGTTTCCCTTTGGGTGTGATAACCACCACAATACAGAAGCAGCCACAAAACAACTGAAGCTCTGGGTGCTTTTAAGGTTTCCCTCCTCCATTCCCTTACTGGCCAGTGTCTAGAGCAGGCTAAATTTTGCCCTCCAGGGGTTTTGGACTCCAACTCCCACCATTTCTCACAGTCTCTGGCCCCCCCCCCCCCCCCCTCAGCCGCTTAAGCGGAAAAGGAAAGGGAAAAGGAAGAGGAGGGGGGCTGAGGCTGTTAGCAATGGTGGGAGTTGAAGAACAAAACACCTGGAGGGCCCAGATTTGCTCAGGCCTGGGATAGAGAGACGACCTAGCCACCGTTTTGCCCCTTCTTCCCTGCCTGCCTTCCTTCCTTCCTTTCCCCATTCCTGGTTCCCAGCCGCGCAGCCTGGGCGTGCCACAGACAATGGCGTCAGGAGCAACCTGTCAGCTCCCATTCCCTCAGCCGCTTCAGTCCTTCCTCAAGACCGGGGAGGGCTCTCTCTCCGAGGCTCTCTGGCCATCCTCTAAGCAGGAACCCTCCTTTGGGGCCCACCCCAAAGGAGGGTTCCTGCTTAGAGGATGGCCAGGCCGCACGGCGTGACATCCCGGCCAAGCTGACCGGCCAAGCACCCGAGGGTCGCCCCGCCTGGATGGTTTCCCGCCCCCCCTCCCCCCCTCCCAATGGCCAGGCCGCACGGCGTGACATCCCGGCCAAGCTGACCTCTCTCCCCCCCCCCCCCCCCCAATTCTCTCTCTCTCTCGGGGTCTGGCTGGGAGAAGGAAGAGGGAAAGCGGGGAGGCCTCCGAGCGCTTGAAGGAGAACTGGGGCTGGGTGGGGAAGTCTGTGTGGAGAGTCCCTCCTCACCTTGCCCACTGGGAAGGCTGGGAATGCCTCCCCCTACCCTGCCCCCAGTCTTGCTTCGCTCGAGCCAACCAACCCCCCTTTATTTCCTCCGGGGCGGCGGAGGGATTGAGCCTCTCTCCTCCTCGCCTTGGTCTCAGTGGGAACCTAGGCGCCCCCGCTAAGGCTGGGTGGGCAGCCCCAGGGAGGGTCCCAGTAGGAGGCTGGCGAAGGAAGGAAGCCAGGAAGGAGGCCTTACCCGCCGCGGTGCTTGTTGTCCGCCCGCTTCTTCTGCCTGACCGGCTGCAGGGGGATGTTGTCGGTCATGGCCGCGGCGGCTGCTTAGCCAGGCGAGAGGAAGGCAAGCGGGAGGAGGAGGAGGAGGAGGAGGGAAGGGGGAGGGGGTCGGCTTCCCACCCGCTCAGCCTCGCTGCTCGCTGCGCCTCCCGCCTCCGCCTCGTTGCCTCCTCGGCCCAGCCTCCGATGACAGAAGCAGCAGCAGCAGCGCCGCCGCCGAGGAGGACCGGGCTGGGCGGAGGAGGCGCGCAGGTAACGTGGAGGACGCTCACCACCACGACGCCGGCCCCCCTCGTTTCGCACCCCCCCCAACCACCATTGGGCAGCATTGAGGCGCCCCCACTTAGCCTGGCTTGGCAGAAACACAGGCCGAAGGGAGCCAGGAGCCTCATCAGACCACAAGCTGAACAAGAGGAGGGCGACTAAAATGATCAAGGGTCTGGAGAACAAGCCCTATGAGGAGCGGCTTAAGGAGCTGGGCATGTTTAGCCTGAAGAAGAGAAGGCTGAGAGGAGATATGATAGCCATGTATAAATATGTGAGAGGAAGCCACAGGGAGGAGGGAGCAAGCTTGTTTTCCGCTTCCTTGGAGACTAGGACGCGGAACAATGGCTTCAAACTACAAGAGAGGAGATTCCATCTGAACATGAGGAAGAACTTCCTGACTGTGAGAGCCGTTCAGCATGGAACTCTCTGCCCCGGAGTGTGGTGGAGGCTCCTTCTTTGGAAGCTTTTAAACAGAGGCTGGATGGCCATCTGTCAGGGGTGATTTGAATGCAATATTCCTGCTTCTTGGCAGGGTTGGACTGGATGGCCCATGAGGTCTCTTCCAACTCTTTGATTCTATGATTCTAAGAGCCCAGGGGCCCATGCAGCAGCCTACAAGCCAACGCAATTCTAGACCGCATGGGAAGAGATTTAAAACAACATATGGAACAAACACCTAGAACTGGGAAGCCTTGGCACTCAGAGTTCTCACTGGAGGCCAGCAGTTCCCAACCCTGTTGTGGATTTGGAGGAAAAACCCGCCATAAAGCCAACCCTTGTCGGAATCGCCTTCTATCAGGAAATGTGTGTCCTCACTGTGAAAGATCACGCAGATCTGGAACATTTATTTATTTATTTACTTCACTTGTATACCGCTTTTCTCACCTTTCTGAGAACTACCACTCCAGCAACAGCAAGGGTATCTCTCTGGGCAGCTAGACCAGGAAATCCCAACTGGATGGCAAACCAAGCATGGGCAGGGTTATTATAGGTTTTTTCAGGCTATATGGCCATGGTCTAGAGGCATTCTCTCCTGATGTTTCGCCTGCATCTATGGCAAGCATCCTCAGAGGTAGTGAGGTCTGTTGGAACTAGGCAAAAGGGTTTATATAGGATGCTTGCCATAGATGCAGGCGAAAATGTCAGGAGAAAATGCCTCTAGAACATGGCCATATAGCCCGAAAAAACCCACAAGAACCCAAGAGATGGTCTTTCTCCCCCAAGAATGGGCAACTTGGAAGTCCCTGAACAGACTCAGAAGTGGAGTGGGCAGATCAAAAGACAACCTGGCAAAATGGCACTACCTAAAAGAATCCCACACCTTGTGTGACTGTGGAACAGAACAGACAACTCCACATCTGTATGCTTGTCCACTATGCCCTGCCTCATGTACAGAGGAAGAATTGTTGGAGGCTACAGACAATGCCATTGCTGTTGCCCGTTTTTGGTCAAAAGATATTTAGCCGCCTGCGCTCCTTCTATTTTTATCAGTTTTATACTAATTTATGCAATGCTTTTGATACAAAATAAATAAATTCTCACCTGGGGGAGTGGGGACGGGACAAGGGACTCAAAGCAGTTTCCAACATATTTATGATAAAATGTAATGCCTCACATATATATGAAACCTAACCTAAAACAACATTAACAGATTAGATCGAGCCACTGGTGGCACAGTGAGTTAAAGCACTGAACTGTTGAACTTACTGATTGAAAGATTGCCAGTTCAAATCCAGGGATCGGAGTGATCCTCTCACTGTTAGCCCCAGTTTCTGCCAATGGAGCAGTTTGAAAACATGCAAATGTGAGTAGATCAATAGGTACCGCTCCAGCAGGAATGTAGCCGAAAAAAATTCTTTTTCTTTTATTTAACAAAATTTTGCCATACAGGACTTATTTCAATATACGTTATTTCAAAAGTAAATATTCCTTAAATGACATTTTATACATTCCTTAGTTATGTATCCCCCAACACCCCCTCCCCCCATCCTCCCCCCCCCCCACCTGAGATGGTTCATAGAGGGAGATACATTCACACAGGTAAGCTGGTCTGGAACCATGGGCTTTATAGACTAAAACTTTGAATTGTGCTTGGAAGCAGACTGACAGCCAGTGGAGCTGGCATAACAGAGGTTGTGTGCACCCTGTAGACCACTCCAGTGAGGAGTCTGGCTGTCACCCGTTGGACCAATTGGAGCTTCCGAACAGTCTTCAAAGTCAACCCCACATAGATAATGTTGTAGTAGTCTGTTTGGGAATAGACTACTGCAACATTTTCATGGACTACTGTGGCCAAGTCTGACTCCCTAGGGTACGGGTGCAAATGTCACGCAAGCTTTAATAGTTTGAAAGCTCCCCCAGCCACCATTGAAACCTGGGGTTCGAGGCTCAGCGATGAATTCAGGAAAACTCCCAAGCTATGAACCTGTGTCTTCAGGGGGAGTGTAACAGTCACTTACCGACACCACTGCCCAGACTGTACCCCTGGAAGACAATCATATTCAGCCATGAGGGATGTCCTATGATGAGGATGAGTGTCTGCTGAAGTCAGAGCCCCACTCTGTTCTGCTTTGGTCAAGGCTCATCTGGAATACTGTGTCCAGTTCTGGACAAAACAATTCAAGAAGGATATTGATCAAGCTGGAACATTTGTGAAAAAGGGACACTTCTAGCTGATATCCTTCTTGGATAGTAAAAGATCTGAAGTCCCGGTCCTATGAGGTTAAGGGAAATGGGCATGTTTAGCCTGGAGAAAAGAAGGCTAAGAAGGAACATGGTGACCATGTTGAATTTGAAAAGATGTCACGTTGAAGGTGGAGCAAGCTTGTTCTGCTGCTTCAGAGACTAAGACAGGGAGTAGCTGAATCAACCCACAGGAAAAGAGATTCCACCTGAATATTAGGGGAAAAGACCTGTCAATAAAAGCCATTTATGGGGATGTCTGCATAGAGGCTGGATGGCAGGGGTACTTTCAGAGGAGATGTTTGCCTTCCAGCTCTGCCCTCTCCTCTTCCTTTAGCACCCCACTTGCTTCAGAGTCTCCAGACTTCCCTGGGAAAGCAAAAAGGAATCTATACCCCCAAATCCCCCTCCAGTGCTCCTTATTGGGACCGTTTATTGGTGCGAAGATTAATTGATACCTGAGGGGTATATGTGAATTGTGCTCCCCAATGATTGCCCCGATCTACCCAGCCCCAAATTTCTAGCTTGGTAGAGGGTGAAGCATTGGAAACCCGGAACTTTTAGGTGTGCAGTGTTTACATTTTCTTGGCACATTTTCTTCCCCTTTTCTTTGAATGTCTGAGTTCTATTTCGAAATGTTCAACTGAAAATTTAAAAAGAGAGAAGTAATGTAGCAGCACCTTTAAGACCTAAAAAAATAACATGAACACTCATGGATATAATATGCCTACTTCTTCAGATGGGAGCTGAAATTTTAAGTTATAGCAGTGTTAAGGAATCTGGGGCATGAAAAAAATCACTTAGCGGGCAGAGTTTTTGCTCTTTACCCCATAATTACATTCCCGAGACACCATCTCCCCTCAAAGGCTTCATAACACAGTATAGTTTTATTGTCCCAGGTGCAGAGCTTGGAAATGTTCCTTTTTCGGACTACAAAGAGGGCCCCCGATGGCTTGAATATTCTCAGAATTGTGGCCCAAAGAAGGTTCTTCTCTAAACTCTTCTGAAGTGGGTGGAGTTTGGTGTGTGTGACCTTCAAGTCACTTGCCAAATTATAGTGACATTATGAATTTTTCATAGGGATTTCTTAGGAATGGTCTGGCCAGTTCTTTGCTTTGAAATAGCACCTGGTATTAGTTTTTTTTATAGGATTGGGCAACTGCAGTGAGTCCAGAAGGCATTTTTCTTCACCTAGGACATTCCCAGCACACACAGTTCCAAAAACCTCAAATCAAAACAGAAACCTAAATAAAACATGATCAGAAGTCAATTTCTGGTATTGGAAAGAAAAATATTTTTACTCTTCCAAATGGCCTAGATGACCCCGGGGACAATCATGGAGTAGTAACTCATAACGTCATAAACTGATTGTGTGTTTTAACTTAGATAGATAGGCCCAGAACAAACACAGTAACTGGGGTTAAGGGTACATGAATGCTGTGGAAGTAGAAAACCACAAATAAAAATAATTTTTTAAAAAATGTGAAAGAACATCTCTTTAGGAATTTCTAGATTATCCAGCATAAGTTTATTGTCAACTTCTGCAGGATGGTGACCACAGAATCACATGGATGACCTAGAGAGATGTTTCTAGGGACTTCTAGGTCTTCCAACATGGCTCCTTGGTCAACATTGGGAGGACTGAAGGACCTAGATTGCTAGGTAAAAAGGTTTTCCCCTGACATTAAGTCTGACTCTGGGGGTTGGTGCTTATCTCCATTTCTAAGCTGAACATCTGGCAAGGTCATGTGGCTGGCATGACTGCATGGAGTGCCGTTACCTTCCTGCCGGAGTGGTACCTATTGATCTACTCACACTTGCATGTTTTCGAACTGCTAGGTTGGCAGAAGTTGGGGCTAACAGCGTAGCTCATACCGCTCCCTGGATTTGAACCTGCGACCTTTTGGTCAACAAGTTCAGCAGCTCGGTAGTTTAACCCACTGCACCACTGGAGGAAGTAATGTATTCAAATTTGTGAATAATTAAATTTTCCAAAGTCAAACCAAAAAATGTGGAGGACTGACTGTCATCTTATCATATACATTACTTGAATGATTTCTTCATCCTTTCACCACTCACATTAGTTAATGCTACTGTCTGCTCACTGGTTCCTGACAACCTTTGCCCATCTGTTCCTATCAGTGTCCAATGTTTTTCCTCACAGCATTGAATATAAAATAGCTTAAGTGCTATCTTCCCTTTCCTTGGACTAATCTCTATGA